AGATTATCGTAATAGAATCCTGTTAGACGTGGGGTCATTATCAATTAAATTATCAATTAGGTTTTAAATTGACTCTCTAATCTTAGTTTATTCATAAACTTATCGATCAATTCCTTTATTTATCAAGTTTCCATATACTTTCATAGGTAGACAATTTTCTTGGATTTTCAGTATATGTTCTCAAGTTATATGTTCTCAAGTTATACCTTTATTCAAGAAAAATATACTCTTGTGTCGAAATACTACATTTGGCTAAAAGGGGGAAGGATAACAAAAGAAAAAGAACATTTTTCTTGGAAAAGAATGAGTGAACCAAAGGTGCTACGATTTTGAAGTCACCAAAGGAGACTTAGGAATATCGAAAAATTAGACTAATTTAACTTCGAATATATATATATATACACACACTTGCGTAACCACGTCCGTCCGTGACACACAAAAGGATAATACTCGTATTATTCCTTTGTTTTAGAAATAAATATTTTGACCGTACAAATTTCATAATCGTAATAGTTTAAATTCTTAATCTTTTTTTTAAAATCATCCCTGAAAAATCATTTTAGTTGAAGACTATTTAGTCATTCAAATGAATAAAAAAATTTGACGATGTAGGTACCAAATAATATATTCATAATGAACTAATCATTTATTTGATACATTTGGATGATAAAATGATCTACAATTCAATAATTTTTGTAGAATTGATCTTCATATGAATATTAAATAAATTGAATGGTTCCGATCATTAATTATATTTGATCAAGTATTATCCCACACAATATTACAATTCACATTTTTATGACATTATGATGATGAAAAATGACGCCAAAAGAAGTTAGAAATTGATGTTTGAGTCTTTGAGTTTTTTGCTACTTTGCAGCATCCCTTTGGATTGATTATTGAGGCCGAGATAATGAGAGGTTGATTATGATATTGCTTACTCACAAGCAAGACAATATATTTATTAAGATTATCATATTAGACTACATAGGCGTGGGGTAATTAATACTTTGATGTTAACTCAATCAGAAATTTCTCGATCATATTTTATTTTCATGACGGCACTTGATAAGTGTCATCTCTCTTGGACTTTCAGTAGTGTACATACCTCTGATGTGTTTCATTTGTGAGGGAGTTCCAGAACTATTCCGGTATCCGGCTCCATCTAGACAAAAAAAAACAAAAACAAAAAAAAGAAGAAGACAACTCTGTCCAATTGTGGAGATATATAAATATCACAAAAATAAAAATCTAGTACACGAAAGCTATAGACAACATGCAATGATGTTGTTGAAAGAAAATGACATTTTACAACAGGATGCATATAAGATGTGCATGTTGTTCTAATTAATATTTAACAAGGTGGGTTAAGTGTATGTTGTTAATGAGATGCTGTCTTAAGGTATATTTTGTTGTAGTGGTAGTTTAAGGATACAAAATAGAAGACTAGACTAGACAGGGAAAGTTATCCATCCTTTAACCGTACAACTTCTTTTTGGTGGAGATCCTTCTATTAACAATATGTTATACATATGTAAGGGAACATTTGTTTTGCAGATTGAAAGTTTAGAAACTCGGAATATCGAATGCAAGAGTAAATGTACTTACCTTACTACTACTGGTAGTAGTACATATAGGCACCAAAGCAAATTATTGAGCAATGTAAACATTGGGAGGCTAAGGTCATCTCCAACCGAATGAGGGTCAAAGGGCTCCCTTTAGCCCTATAGCCCTTTAAGAAATTAATATTTTAATGAACAGTGTCAGGTCATATTTCTTACCATCTCCAATCGAGAGGACCAAAGGGCCATAGGCTAAACATATCCCTGTGACAAAAAACATCTCCAACTGAGAGGGCCAAAGTGTCATACACCAAACATAATTTATTATTTTAATTGAATTAATATGGTTACTTAAATTAAACTACCTCAATAATTTTTCGGATAGAAATTCAAGTGACATGTGTCGCTAAAGTGAGGTAACTCTCCATATTTCTTGTCAACATGTAATCTCAATAATTTTTCGGATAGGATTTCAAGTGTCATGTGTCGCTAAAGTGAGTAACTCTCCAGATTTCTTGTCGATATGTAATCTCAATGATTTTCCGGATGGGATTTCGAGTGTCACGTGTCGCTAAAGTGAGTAACTCTCCAGATTTCTTGTCGATATGTAATCTCAATAATTTTTCGGATAGGATTTTGAGTGCTACTTGTCGATATGTGAGTAACTTCTCAAATTTCTAGTCGATATGTAATCTTAATAATTTTTCAGATAGAATTTCGAGTGCCATGTGTCGAGATGTAATTGGTTATGCAAATTTTAGATAGGTTTCTTATCTGCTAGCACTTCTTATCTTCAGCTTCCAATATCCATAAATAGGATGAATATTGGGGTATAATTCACACACCTTCATCTTTTCCCTCTCCAATATTTCAATTCAAGTTTGCAATGAATTCCAACTTTGGATCCTCTTTGCATTCTAACTGAGAGTCCTCATCCAATTCCGAATTGGAAGATAAATGGGCGCATATGAGACGAGAAGATGAGGAGTCCAATGAATAAAATGAAGCATGGTGCAACACAACATATATGGCAACAATGGCTAGGGTCATGGCATGTGAGGCATTTGAAGAACAACCTCAATGGGATGACTCTGTTGCTGGTTGTTCTTACAAACCACGAAATAGAGAAATGGTGCATGAGACTCCGATGAACAACTACTTCAACCCTAACTCAATGTACACAAAACAGGATTTTAGATGTCGCTTCTGGATGAGGCGTCATCTCTTCGAGCATTTACTTCATGATGTCTAACATGTCAATCCATACTTTCAACAGAAGATAGACAGAGCAAGCCGCCTTGGTTTCTCACCTCATCAAAAGGTTACTATTGCATTCCAAATGCTGGCCTATGCCTCCCCAACTAATGCAATGGATGATACATATGGTATGTTTGAATTTACATGCCTTGATAATCTTGATGAATTCTGTCACATAGTTGTTCAGATTTACAAAGAGGAGTACCTTCGAAAACCAAATCAAGCAGATCTGGATTGGCTCCTTCATAAAGTTGAAGACTGTGGCTTTCCGAGAATGATAGGGTCATTAGATTGCATGCATTGGTAGTGGAAGAACTGTCCCACCGGAGGCAATGAGGATTCAGCGGAAGATTGAGAAAACCAACTATTATGTTAAAGGGTGTTTCCTCATTTGACACATGGATCTGGCATGCTTTCTTTGGAGTTCCAGAATCCCAAAATGACATTACAGTACTTGGGTGTTAACCCCTCGTCAATAATCTGATGGAGGGTAAATCACCTCAACTTGACTACTACATCAACAGGTGTCAGTACAATATGGTGTATTACTTGGCAAATGGCATCTACCCAAAGTGGGCAACACTTGTCCAAGCAATTGCAAACCATGTGGATGATGCCCAAAGGTGGTTTACCTTACACCAAGGGGCATACCGGAAAGATGTTGAGAGAGCTTTCGGTATTCTACAAGCATAGTGGAAAATCATTAAGGAACTAGCAAGAGGGTGGAGTCGAGATAAATTGAACTTCATCATGATGTCGTGCATCATATTACACAACATGATTGTGGAGGATGAGCGAGATGGTTATATTGATGGAGAGTCTGATGACGACCAAGATGATCCAAATAGGTTAAGGAAGGCTCGTGCGAAAATATATGATAGGCCTAATTTGCCTTTGGATACAAGAACTGGTAATATATCTTTCAATGAGTACATGAGGCGTCATAAGATGATATGTTCACGTGCCACAAACAAGTACCTACAACAAGATCTTGTTGCACATCTTTGGGCCAAAAGAAGCATGGAGTAGGCGTTTAAGTTTTATGTTGTTAAATGTTTTTTTTAATGTTGTTTAAGTTTGAATAACTTCCCCAAGTAGTACTAGGGTGGAGATTGTGTTGTTTAATGTTGTTTAATGGCTTAGGTAGTTATAGGAAAAAAAAATTGTCCCAAGAAAAAAAAATATCAAATGCAACGGTAGCCTGGTATCAGCATGACGTCAGTTAGCCATTGGAGATTGAAACTTAGGCCGACCCGAGGCTGGCTGGCTGGTTCCCTTGGCCAGCCATTTGGCCTGATTTCCCATTTTTGGTCCGTGGGGCCCACAGGCCCTTTGGCCTAACCCTCGATTGGAGACGGTTTTCGTGTTATTTCGAGTTATTTTTAGCCCTATAGCCCTTTGGCCAGGTTGGTTGGAGATGGCCTAACATGCTTGGACTCACATGGGGAGCTTGAATCTTGATATGGACCAAAAAATGGAGAAAACGGATGGAAAATCAAAGAAACTTTTTCACAACCCAAGAAATCTTCTCACACCCCACTTTAAATGCTCTCAAGGGAGGGATGTTGAGAACGACAAAGAAATAGATGTTTGGTTAGGTATTTAAGGTTGTTCTTTACCAGAATAGGGAGTATATTAATTTATTTTAAAATTACACGTGTTTACTTTTTATTGGATCAAGTCAAAAAGGAGTAATACTCGGATACTGAACAGTAAGCGCCCAAGTATTATTTCATGTAAAATAGTTGCCAAACATAAAGCAATAAAAAGCACACCATTCACAATACATGCTCTCAATAATGAACGAGTTCCAACCAGAATGAGTTGAAACCCTATCGACATGTCCACAAACTCATTTGAAACCTAACCCATTCATTTTTTATTTTATTTTTAAAATGCTAAAATTATTCCCTAATTGGATGTTTTGGTAACTTTAACAATGGGATACAATGGTCGTTAAAATTAAAAAAAAAAATTGTGGGTATCCATACAACTCATTTTTATAAGGAACAATTTTTGGGACTGCAATTAGATATACCCTTAGTTCTGATTCCATCCGTCCGAAAATCATGCTGATGTATACACAAAGCCCAAGAATAGGTCCTTTTAGACTTTGGGTAGCCCAAGTTGAGGCCCAATAAACTTGGTATTCTTCGTATAACGCTTCCAAATTAGTCAAAAGCTTACCAGACACCTGAGCTTCATCGAGAGAAGGGAAGAAGGAGGAAGAGGAGGAGAAGAAGAAGAAAAGGAAGAAGATGATATACAGGAAATGGAGTCTGTTGACAGGACCCGTAGCGATCTTGGGGGGCATAGTAGGCACCGTCGTCGTCGCCCACTTCATCTTCTACGATAACGTAACTTCCCCTTTTATTTATTCTTCTCTTCAATTTTTATTTTATCTTATAGAATTTCAGATTCATCAATTCGAATGTTTCTTTGTTTTTAATCCACTATTTTTGTTAAACTATCGAGTCATCAAATGAGCTTATTGGGTTTTGATTTATGTGTCTAGATCCTGCTCCTTCGGGTAGGGAAAACAATCCAGGGTTTCAGAGCTTCATTTTCTTAATTCAAGTTTTAGGAATTTCAGGTTTATATATATATATAGTTATATGTGTGTATATATATATATATATACACACACATATGTATGTACTGTGTGCATATATCGTGAAATTATTTAAATAAGAGCTGGGTTATGTTGTATTTTTGCTGAACTTGATTAGGGACGTGAGCATAATAATTTACATGTTAAATTACGCAGGATCGATTTCTGAAGCCGAAGCCGAAGAATGCAGATGCATCCACTTCAAGCAAGTAAGAGGAGGAAGGTGAAAGAGCTGCCTTTTCAATGTAACCCAAGCTTTTCACTTTCTGTCTTTATTTGTTGTTGTGTAAAATTGTGGTGATGCTGCAGTTTCCGACATGGCTTGTTAGTTTAATAATCCAGAATTGAAATGTGAGTTCTGATTTAAGGTTGTGGAGTTGAATTTCCTGGAATATGCATTCTCGGTTGTCTTGACGTTTGCTTGCTTTTCAAGCTGAGAAGAACCAATCAAATTCCATTGCATTTGTTATCGTGCTCATTTCAATTTTTGTTTATTAGCACTTGGTGCGATGACAAGTGCCTTCGCCCATGAGCGGTAGGTCTCGGGTTCGAGACTTGGGAGCAGCCTCTTCATAAATGGGGGTAAGACTAACCGACATTCACCTCTTCCAGACCCTGCGTAAAGCGGGAGCCTTGTGCATGGGTACGACCTTTAGTAGTTTCATTGGATTTGAGTAGTACTTATATGAGACATTTAGGCCCTGTAAGTAACCATGAGGTTTAGCTCGAGTGGTGTGGGTATGGCTGAACGGCAGATTCTAGGTTCGGTTCTTGTATAAAGAAGAGAAACGTTTTGGCAGACTGCAAATCTGCGCTGCCTTTCAGCAGCGTGATGCTAGCCAAGAACTCTGTGAACCATAGAGGAGTAAGGTGCAATGGTATTTCTTTACATGATGCTAGTAGTTTTGAGGCAGGGAGAACTGTAAGTCGTAAATAGCTTCTTAACGATGAACTTGTGTGGAGTTTTGCGTTCTTCTTTCCAGCAGTGGTAGGTACATAAGTTTTACAGAAATGGGATTTTTCTGTGAGATTTGTAGTTTCATATATATGCTCTGTGGTGATACAAAAGGGTATGAAATTTTGCAGCTTGGCCAAAGAATTTGACATTGTAAAAGAATAAATATGTTTACATGCAACTTCACGTTGTTTCCTTAGCAAAGTCTTTCTACATTTCATGGATTGCGGGTCAGCGTCGCGCCTGTTGTTTTAGGCACAGATTTGATCACAGGACAAACCACAGCTGCAAGACTGCTAATACTTGATTCCGGCCGAGAAGTCCGAGAGCTTGATAAGCTAGGCATTCGATCGATAAGCTAGGCGTTCGATCGATAAGCCAGGCGTTCGATCATCGATATTTTCCGCCATTGACCAACAATTCCATAACCAAATCATTCCAAGAGTCTATTGGCCCAGGCAAGCACCAATGTAGGCAATCATTCTGAACTTTGGCATTCTTATCCTTTGCAAATGGCTGGAACTGCCTGTATGGACCTGGGTGCCCATCAGGTCTAAGTAGTGAAAGGTAGGTTGTGTCCAGTAGTTTAAAGTTTACTCCCTTCTCCGATCCTTGGGCTGTAGCCTTCTCAAATTCTTCCAACTCGATATTTCGCATTGCAGCATCGACATCTTTTATGTCAACCTCACCCTCTTTGAATGGCACTGATCTATTGCAGTACCCCCCACTGAACCACTCTCCGTTCTCGAAGTGGTCAGGTGTGGTGGTTCTCAAGAAAACAAACGCTTTATGATCCGAACGAGTGATGAAATTGAAAACCAGACGGAGGGCACTGCGATATGCGTAGTCAAACCCTAACTCTGTCAAGTTCTTTCCGGGACAGTAATGGCAGCCGCTGACCGTGTTGCTTTCATGGTAAATTGCAGTCTTAAGAAACCATTTCCCTCCGGCAATCACCACGTAATCCAAGCTGCTATACTGATCGGTCCATGTCTTGTCAAGCTCGTCAAGATGAAGCTGGATTTCGGAAGTAGAAACTCCATTCATGTCTTCGAAAATACCCGCTTTGACGAGAAACGGAGTCCAAATTACCGAAAGGGTGAAGTTGTAAGAGGGGAAAAACCATCTTTTGGACCTGTATTCTTTGTCATGGTATACCTCAACAGCTTGCTCCACCTGTGGGACATGACCTCTGAATTGTGATCAATATTATCATTTGGGACCAGAAAATGGAAAGCCAGAAGGTATGCAATCTACAAGAATGTCAGATCATGGTAGGTCCTGTATCTACACCGGAGTTGTAAGGTCCAAATATACCAACCGCTATGGGGTCGGTACATAAGAGAGAAACTTCCCTGCCCCAGTTTCCCTATCCCCATCTTCCAATCTCTTTTCCCGAGCTCACATGAGAAGCGCGAGGAAGAGCGAGATGGGAAAACCGAGGCAGGGAAGAACTTTTCTTTAACCTTTAGGGCGTAGATGGAAACTTTGAAATCTTTAGGAGCTAATCATACATCAGTAATCAATCATTAACGTTCCCTAAACGACGTTGATATCGAAACAATTATGATCCACATAGATAGTAGGTAAACCAGCTACGAAAATGACTCTACAACCAATTAAAAAGCAATGGTCGCCATAAAAGTTCAGCTGTAATCCACAACCTAATTTTGATCTAAACATCCATGCAATTTCCAAAGAGAAAAAGTGGCTAAGGTTTCATTAGAAAGTGAAATGATTCTTTTAAAAGTCTTTTTATCGCAACAGTCGTCCATAAGATTTGAGCTTTAGCGCCGCGTCCAACAGAGTGGAAATTTAGTGTGACTAGACCAAATCATCAAAGCCACTACTGTGGTTAATTGGAAGTGCAAAACAAAATCAACAGAGTTTAGTAGATCTAAAGCATATAGATTCAGTAAACATAAGCTAGTTTTCGAGTTTCAGAGTGTACTTGAGAGAGAATGCAAAGCAATGACTGGACATGGTTCCGCGAAATCGAATCGCCAATGAAGGCCCATGATTTGTTCCTCATCGTACCAAGAAAACTCTGCGGATTGAACTTGGGTAGCTCACAGTCTCTTGGACTCCACCTCCAGTAAAAGTACTCGGAATCGGGGCGACCGTTCTTCATACAATTCTGATGAGATTCCATCACATGGCAGCTTTCGTTAGTGTATCTTGGACCTGATGGGTCTGGTACCCAATCTCCAGTAAAAAGGTCGCACTTTACTGCAACTACATTATTTAGTAAAAGTGAATAAATCGGTTGCATACTAATCACTCCATATGGAAAAAAATTCAAGTCTATGACTGAAAAATGCATCCTCTCTGTCCCCAGAAAACAGAAAGCATGAAATTGCATTTATAAATTAGTACTAAAAATGTATAAAATTCAAAGAAATGAAAATTAACACATAACCAGACATATTCCTTTTCTTCTTAATATTTCACTTGCATTTCCACTTCTTCATCCAAGTTCGAATCTCCATCTCCGTAGTTTAGATGAATTTAGTATAGTGTAAGTTCGAATCTCCATCTCCGTAGTTTAGATTAATTTAGTATAGTGTAGAATATTGCTTGCATAAAAAATATCTTTGTCTGACTTGGATTTTCACATTCATGCATGTGGTTTCAACCAAGCAAAAACACCAAAACAGGGACATAAATAAAAGAAAATACTTACCATTGCCATATGTTTGAGAGTTATTTCCAGGAAAATCAACAATTGTAGAGTTTTGAGTTTGGACAGGAAATAAAGAAGAATCAGAAGCAGAAGAGGAGGAAGATTCTGTTTCTTGTTGGTCTGCAGCTGCAAGAGAAGGTGGCTCTACTGGTAAATTTAATCCGATAGAAAGTGCAGAATCGGAAAACAAGAGTCGAAAAGCGAGACCAACTAAGACAAAGCAGACTGCAAACTTCACAAATACATGGCTGTTTTTGTGGAATGACAATATTGGGTTCGATTGAACCCTCATTTCTTTCACCATCTCAGAGCTCGAAGAGAGAGAGAGAGAGAGAGAGAGAGATAAAGAGAGAGAGAGAGAGAGAGAGAGAGGAGAATTTCAAGATATGAAAAAGAAACAGAAGTGATGAAATCGGTTGGTTTTTGTTTTGCAGCAAAACAATCCAAATTTTGAGCCTAAAAAAAAAACAAACCAAGAAAACTAAACAAAAAATCTAAAAAAAACTTTTAGGTATAGTGAATAGTACCAGAAAAAGGTATAAATGTGATTTTTCGTTAAAAATGAATAGTACCAAAAGTGTTTTGTTAAAATTCATTTTAGTTTTAGGAAGAAAATACGTTGTTTTGTATTGATAATTAGGATTTAGGTGGGTGATGTCTGCCTAATACATAGAGAGATGTTGTGAGTCGGGTAAAGCTTATTATGCAAGACTTTACTTTTTCACGTAAGATTCACACTCCCAACACATAATGAGAACACGTGTGAGAGTCAAAACTCAACACGTAAATTGCATGTTTTGTTACTATGTTAGAATGCGAGAATTCAGTTCAAATCCACTCTTTGAAGTTTTCAACACTTTGTGTTGACCAAACAATGCAATTATATAAAACATCCTATGATGTTTTTTGCTTCACTTATATTACCAAACTGCTATTATTTACTATATATTTGGGAATCTCGATTTAAATTCACCCCGAGGGAAAGAATTATGTATCATCCATGACAAATTATTCTTTTTGTATTTGAATCGGTTGACAAAAAATGTCTTCACACAAATAGGACCAATTATGTTGTAGACTAATGATGATTAATAAATATAATTTTTTTTGTGGTTTTTAATTATTCTTTCCCTTTTCTAGATGTTGCAGGAATCAATTTAAATGTGCTTAGTCAATTTATTCTTTTGTTTTTTAATGGATTAGTTGGTAGCTTCGTCACAACAGTCCACTATTTTGAGAGTTAGAAAGACTTATATAGGCATTTCAAACTCTCCCTGACCATCATCTTGCAATTCACCAACGGCAAGAATCGAATCCAAAATATATCGTGTGAAATACAAGTTTAGAATTCACCTCAACCACTAAAATAATCAATATATTAAGTTAAATATTTTTGGTGTCTTATCTTTTGTTTGCAAATTGCAATGCACATGAGTCATGACATGCACGGCCCACCTGCTCACACCTTTGACCTGAATTTGATTAGTAAAATGGGAGTTGGTAGATTATTATATTATCCCAATTTAGCTGGCTGAAACGTGTGAGCAGCTTTAAACCCTAAATTGTTTTACATCAACAGTCGAGCACTTTTCTGAATCATATTGTTCTTTTCTTTTCTTTCAATGTTGCCAACCTTGATTACACCACATTTGGCGATTAGCTACCAACTCCTTTTATTTTCTTTGCTGGATGATTACTTGTAAATTAATCCACCTAATTATCTAGTTAATCATGTTAACCGGTAATATATACCTGAATTAGTATTATTAATTGGCAGCCCAGCAGTGCGACTATCACATTGAAAATATTTATATTATAAAATAATATTAGGTAATGAGTTATTCAAATCCAAACATTCTTCTACTTTTTTCTGGAAATGGATTATCTCCGAATCTCTTCTTTCTAATCCACCAAATCTCTTTTTTCTAATCCACCAAATCAAGAATCTGTACCATTGAAATTTGATTCAACGGCTACAAACAGGGATCCACTTTAAAAGTTATAATAACTTCAACCGTTGAATCAATTTTCAATGGTACGAATTCTCTAATTTGGTGGATTATGAGAAAGGGACCAGAGAGGATCCCTTTCCTTTTTTTCCATACAAATACAACCTTCTGTGTAGTATAATGCAGTGCAGGAAGCATGTATTTAAAATAATTAGAAACAAGATTATGAATTTGAAATGATTAAGTACATTGAATTATTTAAAATTCATGCATTTCTTCTATTTTCCTTCCATAAAAACACAAACAATTTGTGTGGTTTTCTTCTTCTTTTTTAAGGATATTACGAATTGAACTTATCTAATTTAACACTTATATTTTAGATGGTTTATATAAGTAGGGGTGGGGTGGGGTGGGGTGGGGGGACCAAGTAGGGATTGGTCTGGTCCTGATGGTTAATGGTAATGGAAAGCGAAAGCTTTAAAGAGCTTTCCTATCAATCCACATTTGTCAATTGGCTTTATTACCAACTGCCTACTGCAGACTGCAATGCATAGTGCATTGCATTCAAGTTTCAACCCCCCTTCCGTCCTTCCTTCCTTTCAGAATTCTTCTTTACCAAGTCTTAACGAGAGAAACTATCTTGCAACTAATGTATTGTCTTTAGTGATATCGGTGAGATAGATGGTTGTAACGTATTTAAACATCATAAGATTCTTTAGATAGATAATTGTCATCAGTTAGATGACACGAACACAAGCTGATTTACAAAGTTCATGCATGTGATCGTTAATAGACGATTGATTTTAGCATTTTCTTACAGTGAAATAATTTGCGCATTTTTGTTTTCTCTTTCTATACTCCTCATTGTCTCTTAATTCAATTCAACGACTAAAAAGTGATATACATGTAAAGGAGAAAAATGTGAGTGCATAAATCATTTCTCGATATAAGTTCCAAATGGCCATTCTGAATTTTCCTACTTTGGCATGCCCCTCGTACTGGGCTCTAAGCAATAGGCTGATATGAGGGTGAGCCCACCAAAACTGCGTATGGGATTTGCGAAGTGTCCTGAGGTGCTTACGTCTTTGTGCATTTGCGCTGGACAAACCAATGATTGGCTTGGCCTGTTTCAGCTTTCTCCCGGGGTCCCAAAGATTGCCTCCGGCCCTTCATTTGCCAGATTGAGAAGCTAACAATTGATTAGGTCGGTAGTTGCTTGAACCACTGAGACTTTATTATTCCCGGGAGAGCGATGATTCGAGCACAGAATTTAGAATGCATAGATAAACGCTCTTAATCATTTGAGTTGCAAGCTCCTTGCTCATAATTTTGAGACGAGCACCAATTGTTTATGCAGGGGCAAAAAGGAAACCCATATGTTGCAGAAAAAAACTGAAATTAATAGAAATGGCTACCAGCAAATTTATATATGATCAAGATAAACGCTAACCTCATACATTATAATAGCAAAGACAGCAGAAAACCAAACCATTTACATAAATTAATAAATGAAGAGTCGCAGCTGAACGAAAACTAGCATGATCTACATGCACTAAACAAATCAAACCAGAAAACAGCTACTGTAGATATCAGATAAAACCACCCCACTGAGCATCCTACAGCTTATCATTCATTTTCGGTTATCTGCAATGTTGTGCAGCTGCTGAACATTTCAAAGAATTTTTCCTCGACCGGGTTTCTTTCCCCTTTTCCCTAATAATTTTACTTTCCAACTCGGGATGGATGACTTGAGAATCTCCATGCGAGGGATGAAGTTAGTGATTTCTACATGTTGATTATGCAGCTGCTCTTGGAAGCTTCATGCCAAATCCACGTTTTACCTTCTCAACTCTGTTCAAAGTTTTGTCAAAGCAAGAAACATTAGAAGATTCCAAAAGCTCCCAGGGAGAGTTTAGATTAGACAAATTAAACGGTATGAATATCACTACATTAAGTCAGTACAGGTAACAGGAAAAAGAGTGGCTAAAACATACAATATCATTCGTAAAACTATAAATGATGCTGACCACAAAGTGGTAAATTCGTGAACATTTTATGTTAACGATGTGTTCCTAGATTATCTATGTCTTATATATTCAACACATCGTCGTTCCATGTTCCATTTGTCACAGAAAACCGCATGTCCACGATAAAAGACAACATAAAGGTTTAATATGTCTATATGCTCTTGGTTATAATAGCAACATTTTACTATCTTGAGTAATTAACAAAGAACTAAATGAGACGGCTATCAAATAGTTAGTGCTTACGTTGGGGCTAGCTTGCCAAGGCTATCAAGCTCTTCACCAGTGTCCTCATCCAGGACTCTCCCTGAGATCTCGATGATATAAGATCTATCTCTGGTTGTGGGAAGTCCTCTACTGGACAGCAAATCCAAATCTTTATGGTGAAGCTCCCTTCCATTCACAAAAATACTGGTATCTCCGGCCGCACAGTTCTGAGGCATGGGATAGTTGAACTCTTCAATAAATGGCTGCACAAGAAAAGAATTTTCCATTAACATTAGCAAATAACTAGAAATAACCGCTTATGGATTTGATATTAGTGTCAAATCAATTTAACTTACAGGAATGATGCCAAGACCAGGGCCACCCATGACACCCCAGAATCCAGCTCGGAAATCATACCTGCATTTCAAAATTGATGAAGGCAAAGACATGAGTAAAATGGAGGAGGCGAGAGAGATTATAGTTGCAACATAAAGCTATTTGTGATCCCGTGATTTTATTGGTTTACCAGTTTTTCCAAAAGCTATTACAAGTAGGCAAGCTATTATCTTATATTTCTTACAAAGCAATGATCCGTTTTCATGGATATAAGAGCAGTAACAGATTGTAAGCACAATTCAAGGTAATCATGCATAGAGATGCACTATGTGTTTAGTGAGTACACTTACCAATATTGTCCAGGATGGACTGTTCCAGCCATCTTTTCGGCCTTCTTGAGCACACGATCTGGTATTAAACTCCCATTAACCGAAACATTACTTCTCCCATCACTTGTCTGATTTGATTTGGAAAAATCCCTGAAGCTCTTCTTAATAAAGTTCGTAATAAATGAATCACTCCCTTTGTTGGTTCTTGGCTGATGCTCCTCTTTGTTTGCATCCCAAGAATCTTGGGAAACCCCAGTGTTGGAGTACTCATTAAATGATACCTCCATCTCAGTTGCTAGTGATGTCTCCTGTAAAGAGTTTTGTCGCGAGGTGACCTTATTTGGCTTTATCTTCTCTTGATCTGAGCGACTACTGCGGTTTCCCTTCCCAAGTCGGTTTATCACGTGATTGTTCGATGAGAATTCAAAGTGTTCCTCTAGAGGTGAACCAGCAGGAGGCGGAGAAAAAGTGCCTTTGATTGGCTGCTGAATAGAATTTGTGAATTCTTTTGGAGCAACTGTAGCTTCTGGGATGCCGTCATCCTCAGAGGTACTGGGAGATGAAGAATGAAAGCTTTGCATCTCGTGAGGCTTGCTACCAGTTGAACTTGGGCCTGTGGATGGTAACGCAGGTTCTCTATCTATTGACTGAAAATCATAGCCAGAAGTATCATAATCATCAGAGGAGAAATGAGCATAGATCCGGGTGACATGGCCTTGTGAATGTAAAGTACTGTCATTGACCACCTCATTCAAGCTATTAACTTCCGACGGATTTTTCTTTGCTTCTGCATGAGAAAGAACTAGTTTCTTATTAGAAACAGCAAAATCAATCACAGTAAAGCATGCCCCGCATCGCACTTTCTGTTTATTCTTTTCGGCAAGCAATACTTTTTTGGGCAGCTGCAGAATTTCAAAGCAATTATTACATGTTACAAATGGAGCACCACCAGAAAATGGAAGACATCGTCGGCCACCACTGGTTGGCACCACCCTCTCTGGACGGGGATGAACAAAGCTTCCCATTTTGGGGTTAAGGTCACTTGGCCATCTTGTATGGGTTTGCGAAACATTAAAGGGTGGAGGAACCGAAGTCCGAGGTTTGTTGTGATCATATGGACCGACCATCCCCGGGTTTCCAGGATGGAACATGGAACTACTAGGGAAATCAGGGAACCTTTTATTGTGGAAAGCAGTGGGTGGAACTGGCACTGAACCCCGCCGGTGATTGTCATAGCAATAAAAGCAAGGGCAAGTAGGATGGTGAACCGATGCATTATTTGGGTAAAGCTCAAATGGATCAGGATTGTTTTCAGCATACTGTCCAGAGAAGTATGGAAGCGATGGTTGCTGGTATTGCCTGGGAAAGGGATGAGGAGCTCCACTGTGCATGTGGGATCCAAAAGGATCGCCATATGTAGGAAAATTGTTTGAATTATGCATGGTAGAAGAAAAGCTAGCCATAGGCATTTCATGGCCATTGGTATAGGGAAATGCCTCTGGAAAGTGATTGAAATGAGCATGTGCTGCGACAGGTTTACCAGGTCCAAAGTACTGCATCGAAGCCCTATTTGCCGCGGAAGAAACACCTGCATATGAAGTGTCAGAACTACCATAAGGATCTGGAGGAACCATCCCACCATCAACAGGAGCTTTCTCTTTTGGCTTATCAACCAAATCACAAGACCGGCTAAGTTGATCCCTCAGCTCATCCAGCTTCTTCAGAAGCTCGGCTCGGTCTTGTTCAAGGTACAGAACTCTGTTTGCCTCATCTGGGACAATACTTTTTCTCAATGGTTCCCCACCCCTATACGAAGAACCCAAATGGTAATTTGACGGGCCCTCGTCTTGATAGGTTGAAGTTGAAGACCTCATACCTCCAAAATCAGTTCTTTGATGTCTTCGAACTCCCTCCTTTTCACCATTCTCTTGAGCTCGCCAATCTGCCATCCATTGCGATCTTCGACTTGCACTTATGGGACCAAATTGGGCATTCAAATCTCCATGTTCTCTTCCCGAAGCATTCTCCAATTCATCTCTTTTCATGCTCATATCAACGCCAGCCTCGACAAACCAGTTCTGACTTGCATCTTTCGCTTGCTTCCTAACGACCTCAGCATTTTTCACATTTCCCTTCTCTAAATCCCTTTGATCACACCTCAAAGAAGCATCAGCCGACTTAACATCCATATCAGAAGTATCACTCAACACAAGTATTCCTTTACTGTCTGAATCATCTGATTTGGCACAAACTCCTCCAACCCTCTCTTTGTCTGACTTCTCCAACAAAGTATCCCCCTCTTGCCTCTTTTTATTTGCTGTAAAACGATATAAACAACAATCAGATCCTCAATTTTAGCGAGCGGAAAATAAATTCAAAACTAAAAGGAATTGGCATATCTTGGATGCAGAAAAAACTCACGAAAATAATGCAATTCAGATTAGGATCCTACATAATGAAATTGTTGATAGTAATGTAGCTACAGATTTGAATATCTGGTTTTTCGGGTTTAAAAGTCTCAACCCCACAAATCCAATGATGGCGTATTATTAGCATTGGTGTGGATTTTGGTTTTCTTTTGGGTCTAATTCCATAACAAATTCCAAAAATTGTAAATCCTGATCTCACTCCCTTTTCTAAATTTCCAATAACATAAACCAAAACACACACCTCTATAAAATAAAAAACACAACCATCATATAAAAACAAAGAACAAGGTAGCCGTTTGGTTACAAAGAAAATCAAAGGTGCTGACATTTTGGTCAGAAACCCAACACGAACCATGTGACACAAAACGTAAAGTTTCTATCTTTTTCCCAGTTTTATCACCAACCCCACCAAACAACTGCATTAACTAAAAAATTTACAAAAACTAAAAAACGAAATTAAGAAAACGAAGAAGGAGAAGCAAACCTCGAAGAACAGCACCACAACCACCACACTGGTAAACAGAGTAATCATCAAGCTCCGGAAGAAGATTCTCACACTTGGGGCACCGAACCAGCCTCACTGTAGCAGCCGAGTCCCCCATTTGCTCATAACCCACCTCACCAAAAAAACCCAGAAAACAACAAATCAAACACTATTTCCAGTCAATGTTTGGCAGCCTAGAAAACCAGAGAGAAAAAGCAGCTCAGAGAAATGAGAAAGCTTTGGGTCGTTCTGCTGCAATGGTGAAATGGGTTTTTGTTTTAAGGAGGAGAAAGCTGGAGAGAGACAGGAAGCCTCTTTTTCTTTTGTGGGTTTTCTTTTTCTTTTGCAAATTTTCTTAGGAACCAAACAGGGGAGAAGGGATGGTGGGAGCTGGAGAAGTTGACGGTAGAGAGGTTTTATGGTGGGGACACATATTTTCCCGGAAAACTATGAGCTGGAAAGGAAAGGAAAAGAAAATATAAACGCTCAGAATTTATGGAAGTGTTTTGTGAGAAATTCGATTCCAGTATGTGTGTTTGTGTTCTGAGAAAATCTGTGGATTTATGCTTCTGCTTTTTCACGTTTTTTTTGTTTTTTTCTCCAAAATTGCTATCGCACACAACACGCCGAGTTGGAGGCGTCAGGGCCGTTTTCCAACGTTAGCAAAACGCGATTTCCAACAGTACGCTTTCCTGAACGATGCCGTTTGAGAGGGACGAGTTAACTTCGTTTGAGTCGCCGTTTGTCTGGTGTCGTTCAACATAGACATTTTTGGATTTTTAACTATTTGCACTCTTGCTCAATACTACAGTTTTATATATTTTTATTCGTAAATAATAGGTTTTAGGTTCGATTCTTATAAATACGAGTTTGAACCATATTATTGCTAAAGGGTTTAGGGATCTGGCTAAGTCCACCAATTTCCTTAGAGTAGATAATATCGTTTGTTCATAAAATAAAATAAAACTATTTACACTCCCACTTTTTATGGAACAAAATATAAAAAAACAACATTATAATTAGGTATTTGGCTACAATATTTCCCTATATTTAATATATTTATCATCTCAACGTCCAGATAGTGGTTATATTAAATATATATCACGTAAAAAAATGTATATATATATATAGCTATCATCTCAACGACCAGATATTGGTTGTATTAAATACATATATCACATAAACTATATTTGACATTCAAATATTGTTAAGAGATCCAGAATTTAACAAAGAATGATAAATATGTATTCTTACTTTATATTTATGGTTCTATGTATAATTTACTCAATTCGATGGTCAGAAATATATATAAGTATGTGAGAGGCTAAAAACAACATGAAAATTAGTTTCCTTTCACAAAAAGTATGGATAGAAAATATCCAATTTTTAAATAAATTTATAGGATCAAAAATTCAACATGTGATGAATTGTCACATCCCGGCCCGGACCCCCACCACATTCCGGGCTCGACTCTGCTGTATCACGATATTGTCCGCTTTGGGCCCCGACCATGCCCTCACAGTTTTGTTTCTGAGAACTCACACGAGAACTTCCCAGTAGATCATCCATCATGGGATTACTCTCGTGCGAACTCGCTTAACTTCGAAGTTCCGATGGAACCCGAAGCTAGTGAGCTCCCAAAAGACCTCATGCTATGTAGAGATGTGAATATATATATATATATATATACATATATAAGGCTTACAGGATTCACTCCCCTGTGCGATGTGGGATGTTACAATTCACCCCCTAAAGGTCTGACGTCCTCGTCGACACATATCCGACCAGGGATTGGCTCTGATACCAAATTGTCACATCCCAACCTAGGCCCCCACCATATCCCGGACTCGACTCCGCCGTAACACGATATTGTTCACTTTGGGCCCCAACCACGCCCTCACGGTTTTGTTTCTGGGAACTCACACGAGAACTTCCCAGTGGATCACCCATCATAGGATTGCTCTCGCGCGAACTCGCTTAACTTCGAAGTTCCGATGGAACCCGAAGCTAGTGAGCTTCCAAAAAGCCTCGTGCTATGTAGAGATGAGAATATATATAAGGCTTACATAATCTACTCCCCTGAACGATGTGAGATGTTACATGAATGTTTATAAACAAATAGGTAAAGTTGTATACCTTATCATGTAATCAAATTGAAAAATCTCAAACCAATAGTGTCGGTTTTGTTAAAATCAGAAACCTCATATGACGGATATTTAATTTAAAAACTAACTCTAAACTAGCGTTAATGTTTAGAGATCAACTTAAATTTAACTTATTTACGTCAGTACCTCTTGAAACACAATTTCTTCCATTTTTCTCTTGAAGCTCAAATTTTCTCGGTTAACACCTTGAGACTCGATTCTTTTCCCACAATTCCCTCTATTGTCAAAATCTGTTAATAATTCTATTTAAAAAGCTGATGTGGCACAAAGTGGGGATGGATAATTGTTAATTGTTCGTTTCTAATTCATGATAATTGTGTTTAAATTACAAAATTTAAAAGTTAAAATAAATTCAAACATAATAAGTGAGAAGTGGGTCCCACTTTGTGGCACATCATCTTTTTAACGGAATTGTTAACAAATTTTTACAGTTATTTTTGGTTGGGGGGGGGGGAATGTGAGAAAAGAATTGAGTCTCAAGGTTTTAAGTGAGAAAAATTTAAATTTTGAGGGGCAAAATGAGAGAGAAACTGAATTTTAGAGGGTGTTGCCTTAAAATAAGCCTAAAATTTTATTCCATTGCAGAAAACTGAAAGAAGCAAAAAGAGGATTGGCAATTTGGCAGTAGCAAATCCACTTTTTTCATTTGTGCTCAAGTGCTTTACCTTTATTCGGTTCCTCTCTTTAACTTTCTTATTTGGGGTTTTTAATCCTTCCTTGTTCCAACAAGTGCTTTTGCAGGTTGTGGCTTTTTCCTGGTTGCGACCGGAGAGAGAAAAGCACTGTTTTGGCCGATGTGAAAGTGAAAAGAAAAGAAGATTAAAGAAAAAGGAGAAAATAATAAGCTGCGTTTTTCTGACAAGTCTTGTGAGAGACTCTCTGACTCTGATTAGTCTCTCTCTCTCTCTCTCTCTCTCTCTCTCTCTCTCTCTCTCTCTCTCTCTCTCTCTCCCCCCGACTCCACACCTTGACTACTAGGTGGGCCCTACTCCTTCCTCTCTCTCTCTCACACATCTCTTTAACTGCCCAGATTTGACTTGTGAGCCAATTGGATCAGATGAGATGACAATTGTGAATGATGAACAAGATGAAAAATTTGAGAAGAAAACAGAAAGATTGGTCTTGTTTTACTGAATGATTGTTTGTGGTGGCTCAGATGAAGTGTAATGTATGTTGCAACGCAATTGCAAGCTGGAAATTTAACGGCACAATCCAAAGTTAGGGTCCCGATTTATAATATAAAGTAACGTTTTCTAGTGGTGAGTTCTAACATCGATTTCAAGGCAAATGTTGGCATAAAGCTGATACGGTGGTGAGAGAATTATGCACAACGAGTAAAAAACCTCGACTTGCTGCTAATATATTTTGGACACATATTCTACTTTAAGAGAATGAGAATTCGGCTAATCCAAGCAAAAGTCAGTTTAACATGAAAATTTTCAGTTACAAGTGAAAAAAATATCATAAAATCGTAGTATAAAGAGGAACGCTATAAAACTATAGTGTTTATCGGTGGTTATGCATAGAAATTTAATCTTGCAAACTTGGTGGTACCCATCTCCAAATTGACAATCTTGTTTTGCAGTTTGAAAATGCACGCATATATGCAAAACTTCAAAGGAATTAGTGAGTAGTTGGTATTATGTTAGAAAAAAGGAAAACAAACCGATTGATGATATAGTTATGTCCAACTTTACGAAAATTAGGATATATAGAGATACTTTTTCATTAAATCTTAGTCATTGAATTATTAATAAGAAATTTAACAGTAAAAAATTCTAGTTTATAAGACAGACCAAAATAAGCTAGAAAGTCTCCTTAATTTCTTGCCTATAAAAACCTGCAAGTACTCAGTAACTTTGAATACCGTCACTTTGACGTTGTGTTTGTATGTACCGAAAACAATGGTTAGGGTTGGTAACAGTGTAAAGAAAGAATCTTTAATTGCAGCTTTGGCTCAAACCAATAAGATAGTTGAATTGTTGGCACATTGGGTGGGTGACAACTGGCCTTCATCTCTATTTTCTGGGTGTGGAATGTGAAGTCATTGCTAAGAAGTTTCAAAGCAGTTCCAAAGAGAAGCAAATTTTGTGGCACACTCATTGGCTAAAATTACTTTGGACACAATTTTTTCAAGCTTTTATAAGATGCCCTGCCTTGTTGGTCTGGTCCTCCCTTTTGCTTGCTGAAACAATTATCACAATTGATTGCATTAATTTGAATGCTTAATCACTCTTTTCTTAATTAGAAGTAAAGTTTTGAGGCACTGAACACTACCAATTTCTAATCCTACTACTAGCGTATAATTTATTCCAAATTGCTTTTACTTCTATGTTATTTGAAAGTTATATGTCTACTCGATCAGGATAATGTCTCACCTCTCTGCACTTGAGTTTGAATTTTTCAGTTAAGAGTATAAATTTTACATTAGGTAAGAAGAGATTGTGCTTAGAAAGAGATGAATCACTGTCCAACTTTGTTCATGGTATCATGCTAGTTGGCTTACCTATAAAGTTAAACGACCATACATAAAGGGGTGTGTTAAGAAGTATAATGTTACATTGTGAAGGAAGGACATGTGTTTATAAAGAGTTTGATCGCTCTCTATTTAACCAATTGAGCTAATAGTAGAACCTCAACTTTCTTCGCTTCTTCTCTATTAATTAGAATAATTTAGAATACAACTTTATTAAATAAATAAAATTTATGTTACCAGAAAGTTCATTAATTTAGTTGCTCTATTGGTGCACATGTTTGATTAAACAGGACAACTATGACACTTGAACAATTGTACGTAGTCTTCGCAAAGAGAAAACCTTAATGTCCTCTCCAGTAATGGTATGTTGCTTTGACCTCATTGTTTTTTTATTTCTCAACCAGTTGATTGTTGCATACGTGGAGTTGGAGGCAAAGGATGGAATAACTCGAGTTGAAGCAAAACCCTAAAATGGTTTATAATTTGTATTACATCCTAAAGCAGCAACAGTGCAGGATATATGACTTCTCCATGGAAGTCAATATTTTCAGATACCTTTGTTTAAATACTCTGAAATAGTGATCAGCCAGCAAGTTATGTAATATTCAAAATTTAATGTAGATCCAAGTCTCATTAGCTGAGAGATTGAGACAGTCAACAATTGGATTTATTTGGACGGTCCTTACGAGTGTGATTATTTGTGTTACTGGATTTCATTGAATTGAACTAGACTAAAGGGCTCGCTAGATGGTCTTAGTGAGAACCCTCGAAAACCAGAGGACTGCTAAGACCGTCCTCTCTCTCGCGTAGTCCTGCTGGACCAATCCAACATCACCAACTTCTCCCCATCGTGTCCTTGTCTTGCTCGACGACCTAACTAGATCATCCCACCAACTACCGCCACGTCCTTATAAGTATCTC